ACTTGATGAGGAGCGATCGTAGATAGAGAAGAGGCGTGCCAAGGTATTAAGTAAGGGCTTAGATTTAGACGATAAGCTATATAAAGATGTGGGCTAAAGAAGACATATGGGCTAGGGAGACCAAGACTGAGCATAGGAAGTGTAAAGCTAGACTAGCGTTCGTAGCCCTTTCGGCTTGGCCGCCGGGCGTAAATAAATTGTGTGTGTGTACGGAATAGACCGAAATAGACCGAAAGACTATGGAAGTAGTATGGCCTTAGCAAAGTCTAAGATTGCAATCTTTGTAGTAATAAGTGGGGCAGCATTCGATACGCATCGTAGACCGAAAGACTATCATAGAGTTTGAGTAAAGTCTAAGGGCGTAATCCTTGCAGTAGTGGGGTAGTATCGTATGTGCGGAACGGACCGAAAGACTAGGTACAGCAGAACGTTAATACACAGTAAAGTTCAAGGGCGCAATCCTTGCAGTAATATGTGGGGCCGTATTACATGCGTGGATTGAACCAAAAGACTACAGCAGTGGCTTAGCAAAGTGCAAGCGCTCAATACTTACCGCGATGTGCGCGGTAGTATTATAATTGCTACATTTGCCATTAGCTAGCATATCCAGCCTACGTAAGTCGAAGGTTTCGACCGGCTTACTGGCTCTGCATGTAAGAGTGCTAATTTTACAACGACAGAGGTACAACTACGGAAGAGGCATGTACAAAAAGCTAACGCTGAGCTGGGGTGTACACCAAGTCTAGCCTCGGATGTATCAGGTTAGGCTCCGCGCTGGCAGTTCTATGCTCGGCAGCTTTGACGATGGCGTGAGCTCACGATGGTTGTATAGTGCAAAACATTCATTTTGCAAGGATATCTCCGTCCGCGCTGTAGTGGTTAGGTACTTAGACTGTCGTTATCCTCGCTGTAGTAGCCGGATGCATACACTATCGGTATTCACGCTATAGTAGTTGGACACTTACATTCTTAGTATTCGCGCTGTAGTAGTCAGACACTTGCGCCGTCGGTGTCCGAGACCTTTTCGCGGCGTGTTGACATCAATGGCACCTAGTAGTTGATGTTTAGCTGTCTAAGGACATACTTCCCAATAAGGACAAGAGATACAAATATTGCATTATCAGCACTCAGCTATATAGTCGGACCATGATCCATTTCTTGTTTATATTCATTCAGACGCGAGATCCAGGTCTTATATTTTCTCTCCTACGCAGAAAAATCAAGTTCTTACTCACCTATCGAGAATTTCGACTCGTATTCGTTCAATTTGATAAGCAGTTATGGCTTTCACCAGTTCTAACAGCACGGATGGCCATCTGAACATCCGCCCTATGGTCCATGGATCGGACAAAAAGCTTAATGTTAGTTACTTAACTATGCTGGGGGAGGAGTCATATGTTTCGCGTGTTAACCATGAATTGACTTCTAGTTTGGAGCATACATTACTGGCCTCGATCTGAACAATGCTTCAGGTTAGTCTCGGCTCTCCATTTTTTCTCTAGTGTGTCGCCCTTTTTTACTAACAGAACTCACTGTACAGATGACGAAGTCGATCAACTACGTGAAGCTATTCTACGGCATAAGGTTGTTGTAGTCAAAGGCCAACAAGCCGAGACACCAGACAAGAATTGGGAAATCATCACAAAGCTGGATCCCATGCACCATATGATCACCCAAGAGGAATTTGGGCGACTTTTTCATCCCACCGGAGAGGGTTTGATTGTTCGTTATAATTTAAATCTCGTCGAAATCCTTGAGAAGTGATCGCTGACCCACAAGATATATATAGGCCATGTTGAAACTTGCCACCGTGCCTACCGCTCAAGATGGTCATATTCATTTGATGGGAAAGGGATACCAAGGAGACGATCATTATGGTCTGAAGAAATTGACTCTAGGTGAAGCCTTTGCCGGAAATTATTATTCCAAGCCACTCGCAAATGAGGACTTCCAAGCTGGCATAGCCCGATTCCAAAGCTGGCATATCGATGGCCCTCTGTACAAAGTACATCCACCCTACATCAGCTCGCTGCGATTCATACAGCTGCCTGTTGGCGAGCAGAAAGTTGAATGGGCTGATGGGTCTGGTTTAAGCTTGAAAACCAAGCCAGGTCGTACGGGGTTCTTTAGCACGTCCCAATTATACGAAATGTTGACAGATGAGGAGAGAGTCATGGTCGATAACAGCACTGTTGAATACATGTATTATCCTTACGAATGGATCCGTGGCTGTCGCGGAAATCCTAATGGACTGAGCGTTGCAGACGAAGGTCGCGAGAAACCGCTTGAGTTAATGGAGGAAATGGCTCGTGATGAGCAATGGACCAAGACAGTAAGTGACCGATTCGACATTCTTTACAAGATGAATTTCCGCTGACGAGGACTGCTCTGCTTCTGCGAACAGTATCCCATGGTTTGGTTCAATGAGCTTACAAAAGAGAAGTCTCTCCAGGTTCAACCGAACTGTGCTCGACGACTTCTCATCCGGCGCTCGGCCGACCAAAAGGATCCTGAGATTATCGAGGGGCCTGAGCGTGTACGTGAATTCATGGACAAGCTGCAGCAACGCATTGTGCGGCCTGAGTACATCTATGTGGGGCCAGAAGAAGAAGGTGACCATGTGTTCTGGTACAATTGGGGGTTGATGCATTCGAGAATTGATTATCCTGTAGCATACGGGCCTCGTATAGTACACCAGGGTTGGGTCCCTACACACAGAATACCGCGTGGGTCACCAGCGGTGGCACATTAGCTTTCATTAGATATTTGATAGTACCATGAACGAGTTATCATCCTGCGAACACTCGTACAGAACACCAAGTAGGAAGTGTTTTAATCAAAGGCAGGAAACAGAAGAGCCAATATAATACCGCTACATAACGCCAGCGTGCTTGGTCATTTGAAGCGGGTACATCCCTTTCCGATGGCCAGATTCAATGATACGAAATGCAACTATAGACATTTTGTCTATCTGAAGGCAGCTTTGTGTCTATGACATCTGGTCCAGCGAAGAAGTTACGATCCTCGATGTATTGATTGAATGGAAAGAATCTAGCAACACTTGTAACACAAAAGTAAGAGAATGTCGCTGCATTGAACACGTGGCTGGTGTCTACATTCTAAAAGAGTGTTTTCATATCTAAACCCAGAATACTTGAGCAACTCTTGTGGAGCTGAATCTACATCACTGCCTAATCAGCGACCGAAGAGAATGGCGGTAAGCGCTGATTATGTGAGACGAGTCGCTAGGGTTCCTAGCGTCATAACTCTATAGATCGCGACAGCTTCCAATAACTCTCCAACATGTCTTTCACCGTCATAGTATGGATGGTAGGCATGGCCTTGATGTGAGTGGGTTTAATATCCATCAAGCCGTCTATTATCCATGTCTCTAAGATAGCAATGTATTTATCAAAAGCCTCGGGGTCGAGTTCGTAACGCTGTGACGTTTGAGACGGCAATGCGGTGATCCTGCCTTGCCGGAGTTTGACTTCCTCCTCATACACTACCTTCAACTGCCTCCCCGTAATGATCTTCGTCAGGTTGACAAATTCGTTCAACGTTATTCTGTCCCCGGCAATGTGATACTCCTGTGGCCATGACCCTAATGGCAACTTCAAAAGACCTGTTACATATCTTGCTACGTCCCTAGTAGCAGTTAAAGTAACGACTGTGTTGCCATCGCCAGGTATTGCGATCATCTCATGCTGCATATCCACGATGAAACAAGCAGATCGCAGAGTCGTAGGCATATTGGGCATTCCAAAGTAGTCGAGAAAAATTCCGTTGCTAACGACCGTCCACTCGAGAGATTGTGCATCTGGAATGACCTGAAGCCTGTCGAGGCATTTGAAATAGTTCACTAGTGGCGGCATGACATCGATGGCACTAGAAAATGTTACTTCGCGCTACTCGCAAATATGAGTAAACAATAGTCACCGACCTTCTTGGATACGACAAGAACCAAGAACTTGGGATAAAGCGTTTGGTCACCTGGGATTGCAGACAAGCTTCGACGAGATTGCTTTGAGAATCGCCAGCGACATCACTAAGCGTGGATACGACTGCAGAAATATGATGTTTCTCGAGTATATCACGCATTCCTTGAATATTATCATAGTCAACAAAGACCTCTTGGCTGTGCGTGCTTGACTAGACAACTACAGTATTAATAAGATTGAAGCACATATTCGGAGCCCATGACTTACCCTGTGTGTCAGCACGATTACTTCAAAATGGTTTTGGAAAACGTCAACAAATGTGCGTCCTAGTCCGCCTGTGCCACCCGCAATTGCAACGACTTGTCGGTTGGTAGTCATGATGGGTGGTGCGTGAGCATGAGAGTTTGAGAACAGTCTCTGAGTGCAGTAGCGGGTATTTTAGGTCTAGCAATGAAGGGAGTGAAACTCGCTTGAAGCAACCCATGGCTCTCGGGGTGAGCGACCGGGCTACATCTATGGCATCCTCGACACATAGCCGGGCTACGCGACCACAACTATCCCGCGCCAATATACACCAGGGCAACCCAGCTAGACAGTCCTGGGCTTGTATGCCCGACATGTCACCCTGGTTCCGCTAGCAAGGATGGTGTGTGACCAGGAAGAGATACAGTAGCGGCCACTAGTTCTTACGTGTGCCATGCGAGCGCCACTGAGCGCCATTGCCGCATCTAGCGGAGACTTTTCACAGGAAGGAGGTGGGAAAGAGGCTAGATTCAGCTTGCGAATCGGAGCACGTACCTTCTCAGTACCGGACCGTGAAGAATGCAATAGATATCTCTTCCCACCTGTCGAAGAATTGCCTCCGCAGACACCAAATCGCCCAAGATGTTTTCTTTTGCTTCTCTCGAATCTCTTGATCCGCTACGCCATGCGCTCCCATTGACCTGCGCAGGATTGGTGATCATATTCACTTTCTATTTATCACAGCACCATAGCCCCAAACCCGCCCCCAACATTCCAATCCATAGTTACGACCGCGAGGAGTACTTCCGTAGAGGTTACGAACTAGTCCAGGAAGGCCAGAAGAAATACCCGAGCTGTTTCCAATTACGCACCGCCACAGGTTGGAAAATTCTTGTTCCCATCAGATTTGTTGAGGAATTGCGCAAGAACCCGTCCTTGAGTTTCGCAAGGGGCAACGATAAAGATGCTTTCATCGAGTATCCGGGCTTCGAAGCGATGGAGGCAGCTTGCCACGATGACTATTTCATGCAGGAGGTTGTCCGGGTGAAACTTACGCAAACTTTGAACTTACTCTACTCGAGTGTTATAGACGAATCTGCCGTAGCAATGATGGACGTTCTAGGAGAGGATAAAATCTGGCGTACTACACGCATCAAGGACGATGTCAGCCACATAGTAGCGCGAGTGACAAGTCGTGTATTTCTCGGATTTCCGCTCTGTCGCAACCAGAGATGGCTAGACATCGTCGTGAACCATACCGCGGCAGTATTTATGGCCGCGAAAAGGATGCGACAGACACCTCCAGCGCTACGTCCACTGATCCACTATTTTCTGCCTGAGACGAAACTTCTTCGTCAACATCTACATGCCGCACGTGCCCTTATCAGTCCCGAGCTTGCGAAACGTCGAGCTGCTGTTGAGGAGGCATTGCGACATGGCAAGATTCCAAAGGAATCGGCCGATGCGATTTCCTGGATGGTCGAGGTTGCGCAAGCTCAGGGCCGGAAGATTGACGTTGCTGTCCATGTGGTATCTTTGAGTATGACAGCGATACAGACTACTGGAGAAGTTTTAACGAACTGCATTCTGCAGCTCTGTGAAACGCCTTCAATCGTAGACGACTTGCGGGTCGAGATCATTTCTCTCCTGAAAGAAGGTGGCTGGACAAAGTATACGCTGTATAAGATGAGACTTCTTGATAGCTTTATTAGAGAAGTTATGAGGCACCATGACTTCCTCCGAGGTGAGCCGATCCGAGTTATACTTACCCATTTCCAAAAGCTAGAAACTAAACAACCAATGCAGTCACTTCGTGGAGAGGATGCACTGAAGATGTCGTGTTGTCGGACGGCACGGTCCTTCCCAAAGGTAGCTGTATCTACTTCGACGATAGCAAGGTCATGGACCTGGAGCACTACCCAGACCCGGAAAAGTTCGATCCAACGAGGTCGCTGAGGAAACGAGAGCAGCCTGGGCAGGAAGAGCGGTATGCACGCTGTTTCCATATAAATACTTAGCTGACCCGCGGAATAGCCATCAATTCGTGTCATTACAGACGGACCACTTGGCTTTTGGTTACGGCATACATGCGTGCCCTGGCCGGTTCTTCGCTAACATGGAGCTTAAGGTAGATACCTTATAATAACTACGTGGCTTTCTTTGCTTACCTAGGCTACAGGTTATGCTTTGCAATTTTCTACTCAAGTACGACGTTAGACTAGTGCCTGGGGAAAAACGACCAGCTGATATCCTATTCGAAGTGCAGAGGATGGTACCGCCTGATGTCCAAGTTCAGATCAAAGTAAGGGATGTAGAGCCTGAAGTTGACCTATATTCTCCTATGGATAGCACATAGATAGTATAGAGTATTATTACAACCCTGATCTAGAAGGCTACGCTACACATAAGATAAGCACTCTTAAACAGATACTGCGTGTGGTCAGTGCGTGCAACAGTTCAGTCAATGCAACATCCCAGTAAAATACATACCTACTAAAACATAAAGCTTTTAACTACCACTATAACGTTATTATCGCAAGATTTCTTAGTTGAGTACTAATATAATTATTGTGGCACGATACGTGATCGAGCTCAAAAGATTAGAGGGGCGACCCGCAATCGAGTAGATAGAAATAAGCTGAAGGTTGATCGTTGCAAAGGATNNATTNGAGAAGGTGCCTATCTACGTACGAAAGATAATCGTAATATATACTATACGCTNAGTCACGTGATGCTACACCACATTATATATTTAATATATAACTTATTTCACCACCAAGTGAGCAGCCCTAACCAATATGAGGCGCGAATCGGGGTGCGATTCGTGCCATATTAGGCTTAGCGTTAGGGTTTCTATCCGTATCTGG